AAAACCGGTCCTGGTTCTAAAAACCGGAACCGGTTTGAAATTTTTCTCGTTTTTAAAAATACGCATAACCCATTCATATGAAGTCAGAATTATTTGATTTTTTTTTTCCAACATGTAATTTAGAGTTTGTAATTCATTTTTGACTGTACAAACATATGTTTTGGTTAGATATTGAATCAGATACATGCCCTGAAAGAAAGAATATCGATGCTGCGTTTTTTCTATTTCAGAATTTTTTTTGTTTGTTTTTTTGAATCTGTCACATTTTCTTTAAATGAGCATAACTCATTCATATAATATCGGAATTATTAATTTTTTTTCCACCATCTAATTTGGTGTTTGTAGTTCATTTTAGACTATAAAAACACATATTTTGGTTAGATATTGAATCAGTTATAGACTTCGGAAGACAACATATCAATGTTGCGTATTTTCCGTTTCAGTATTTTTTTTTAAATCTGTTCCGCTTTTAAAATGTTCATAATTCACTCATATGAAGTCGGAATTACTTGATTTATTTTTCATCATGTAATTTAGTGTTTGTACTTCAATTTAGAATGTAAAAAATCACAATTTGGTTAAATATTGAATCATTATAAGCTCCGGAAGATAACATATTATGTATAATATTTCAACCGGTTCTAGTTTGAAAAATAACCGAAAAATCAGGACCAGAACCGGAACCGGCGTTAGAGCCGGCGATCCGGTTCCCGATTCTTATAATATAGGAAAACCGGTTCCGGTTCCGAACCGGTTCGGTTCTAAAGTTCATCCCTACTTTATTACATCATCCTAGAAATTACACCCAATGAATTTTTTTAAAAGTCTAGTTATACAATTTGAAGTGGAATGAACATTAACCTGCACCATCTTGCAAACTCCATTACAATTTATATGACATGGACCGTTGGGTTTAGACTTCAAATGGTTAGTTGCATAGCTTCCTTTGGGACTCTGCTGAACATGATTATAACTTTCATTAAAAGAAAATGCAAAACTTTAAAATAAACTGAAACACCAAAATTTTAAAATTAATAAGCATGCACTACGTTAGTTGTATCCATTCTTGTTTTGTATTGTTGTGAAGTAGTTTTGTTGCTCATGTGAATTTAGAGGCAATGATTAGAGCATCTTCATATATAATATTTTTCATTCCAACCAAAATTATAATTATACAATATAAATTTGGATAATAAGAAAGAAGAAAATGAAACAATATTTCTTACCATAAACTTTCATATTTCCTTCTCATCGTCATCTTCCTCTTTAT